GGCCCGGCCTGCTGGGAGAAGAAATCAAAAGCGGTTGACATTTTGCACACTAAAAGCTTGCCTGATGGAAAAAACAAAAAAAGAGAAGGAAAAGATCTTTATTTGCAAGAGAATGATTTCTTTTTTTATTTTGTCACGAGGTATTTTCAACATTTTCCATTTTTCACAAACGTTTCTGCAGCATTTTTACAGATCAGTTTTTAAATAGATGCACAGAGGCGAAGGGGAATCTCTTTCTCGAGCGTGGCCATTGACTGGGAAAAGGGAGAAAAGACATTAAAAAAAAAAAGCCCCGCAGCCTTTTCAATAAAATTGTCGGTAGAAAAAAACCCCACCCACCTCCTTCCCAGAGACGTGTGTGGAAAACGCCGCCGCCTATTGTGAAAATAACAGCGGTGCTGGGAATGCGGCGGGCTGCGCTGCGTCCGCCCAGAGCCCTCCCCGGCCCCAGCCCGTGGGGACGAGCACGCCGAAATGCAGCCGGTGCAGCCTCTGTCCAGCTGGGGCTGTTTCCTCCGGCATCCCGCAGCCTGGCAGCCCCATCTGTCATGGCCCCATCCCATGCCAACCTCATCCCATGCCAACCTCATCCCGTCCCAGCATCATCCCATCCCAGCATCATCCTGCCCAGCCCCGTCCTACCTTGGCCCCATCCATCACGGTCCCATCCCATCCCAACCTCATCCCACCCCATCCCACCCCAACCTCATCGCATCCCAGCCTCATCCCACCCCAGCCCCAGGGCTGTTTCCTCCTGCATCCCACAGCTGACCAGCTCTGTCCATCATGGCCCCATCCCATCCCAACCTCATCCCATCCCAACCTCATCTTACCCAGCCCCATCCTACCTTGGCACCATCCATCAAGGCCCCATCCCATCTCAACCTCATCCCATCCCAACCTCATCCCATTCCAACTTCGTCCTACTCCAGCCCCGTCCTGGCTTGGCACCATCCCACCCCAGCCCCATCCATCATGGCCCCATCCCATCCCAACCTCATCCCACCCTAGCCCCATCACATACCAGTCCCCCCAGCAGCCTCAGCCGTGCGAACAGGGTGGCTGACCCCCGTGCTAAGCCCACAGGGGTTGACACCTCGTCCCCAGCCCTGCTGCTGCCTGCTCTCCCCCAGCCTGGAAGCAA